TGCTGCTGCTGCTGCTGTTGCCGCTGCTGCTGCTGCTGCTGTTGCTGCTGTTGCTGCTGCTGCTGCTGTTGCTGCTGCCACAGCTACTGGCAGTCTGGCTTGCTGCTGCTGCTGCTGCTGCTGACCCACCTGAATCTTCGCAGCTAACTCTGCTGCAGCCGAAGCTGCAGCAGCAGCAGCAGCAGCAGCAGCAGCAGCAGGTTGCTGCTGCAGGGATATTGTCTGCAGGGCCCAACCGGAAATCCGATGCAGTACAGGGGGCAACGGCGGACTGCTGCTGCTGCTGCTGTAGCTGCTGCTGCTGCTGCTAGTGCTGCCATTGCTGCTGCTGCTGCTGCTGTCGCTGCTGCTGCTGTTGCTGCTGCTGCTGTTGCTGCTGCTGCTACTTCTGTTGCCGCATGGAGGAGCGCTACTGCCCCCACCGCCGTATCCTCCTGCTGCCTCCGAAACCCCCTTCTGCTGCTGCTGCTGCTGCCGCTGCTGCTGCCGCTGCTGCTGCTGCTGCTGCGGCTGCTGCTGCTGCTGCGGATGCTGCTGCTGCTGCTGCGCTTCGTTGTAGTATGTGCGCGAGCCCCAGTTATAGATCTGGGAGCCAATAGAAGACCAACGCAGGCCAGCAGGGGGCGGCAGCAGCAGCAGCAGCAGCTGCTGCTCTGCTGCTGCTTCATCTATACCTGAAGCTGCTGCAGCACACAGCAGCTGCTGCTGCTCATCCGATAGATACAGATTGCTGCTGCTGCTGCTGCTGCTGCTGCTGCTGTTGCTGTTGCTGCTGCTGCTGCAGGGCATGCGCAGCAGCAGCTCCGCATCTGAAAGCTTTTGCTGCTGCTGCAGCCACAGCAAGCGGCTGCACTTATGGGGAGCAGCAGCAGGAGTTGCTGTTGCTGTTGCTGCTGCTGCAGTTGTTGCTGCTGTTGCTGCTGTTGTTGTTGCTGCTGGTGTTCCTGCTGCGGCTATTGCTGTTGCTGCTGCTGCTGCTGTTGCTGCTGTTTTGCCTGTTGCTGCTGCTGCCTCTGAAGCAGCAAGAAGAGCCCCTTCTGCTGCGGAGTCTCCGGTCTCGTTGCTGCCCCCCTGCTGCTGCTGCTGCTGCTGCTGTTGCTGCTGCTGCTGCTGCTGCTGCTGCTGCAGGTTTTGACAA